GCAGTTCAAATACTTTGGGAAGGGCAAATCCTGCTCTAATTGCTAGCGAGCAGGAAAAACCTGCTGTGCTCAACCAGGACCTGAGAGGGGGTCTGGGTACCCAGTGATGGAGGCAGAAATGGGTTACAGCACCTAGAAACTTCCACGAGTCTGTGTGACATTTCTCTGAGTAACAAATGAGGATTACTGACAGTGAAATGCAAATGAGCGAAGCATTTCAGTCAAAAACACAGAGGTGGTGTTTACCTGAGGAAATTCACTGTGAGGTAGGAGTGGGTTTTGGTTATGTTTTAATTGGTGCTGATTCAGACACATCCTGAAGCATTGCTCCTACCCTGAGGATGAGGGGATGGCTTGCTTCTCTCCAGAGTAATTTCTGTGGGAATGGTAAAACCAGATCTCCCCATAAATCTCTGTAAAATCCATGAGGAAGCAGGTAAAACCATCAACGTTTCTCCCTTGCTGATTCCAGTAGTGAGGAAATTTTGTTGACTTGAGCAAGGAGAGCTCCCTTAGTATCATCAGAGACACGAAGTCACCTCTGTCCATTCATTGAAAAAGGAGCTTTTTTGGGCTCTGTGCTGCTGCCAGGAGGGGAGGGAATTCCACCTCTGGTCAGGCCAGGCAGGTGGTTCAGCTGTGAACCTGCTCAAATTTCACAGTGGCTGAATATCACATTTGATTTCATGGGAAATCCTAACATGGGGAAACAAAACACATTCTGCTTCTCAGGAGAAGCATTTGAACTCCGGAATGTAATGTGAGGTGAAATTAAGACAAAAAAAGTTTTGTGTCACTAGAATTTTCTGTTCCAGGTTTCATTTGTTTCTGCTGTGTTCTATTTTCAGGGGGTTGGGCTGAGACATTTGCTGAGGGGTTGTTCTGGTTCGTGATGGTGTGTTAATGTCAAATCTGTATTTTAAGTAGTTCTTGAAAACTGATATTAAAATTGCCATGGGTATCAGCCCCTAAATATATATATTTTAAAGGTTGTGTCACAGTAACTTCAGGAGGGGACATAGGAGAACTGAAAGATCCAGGCTGATTTCCATTGGAAATTGAAACAGTTTTAGGAGAAGTAAAAAAGGAGAAAGTCACATGTTGCTAATGGACACAAAATGAATACAGTACACTTCTGTGTACTTGGTAAGTTCAAAAGAGAAAAAGAGCTAATTTTATATCTGACTTTGGAATATATAGAATTCTAAAAGTGACAGTGGATTGGAGGATGAAATTGCTACTTCTCCAATCACTCAAACCAACAATCCATCAATCCTCTCCTCTCACAAAGAAGAATGTAAAACAATAATTATTTACATGAACAGTGCGTGAGAACTCCAGTAGAAATATGTTAACATCAGAAGGCATAGAAAAATTTTAAAAGAACTTCAGAACTTTGAGAAGAACTGTCGCTATAGGATATGTGAAAGCATGACGCGAGCCACCTGCTATTTGCAAGGTAAAGAAGAAAGTTTATTTTCTGACTCCAACTTTTATACTTTCCCAAAGGTGACATTGGATTGGAGAGTGAATGGGCCACCTCTCCAAAGACATTGGACAAACCACCAGTACATCAAGTTTCTCCACCCCCATGAAGGAATGCAAAACAATATGTTGTGTATAGAAATTGTGTGAGAAAGTTTTCTAACAGAATGTAAACTCAGAAAGCTTTAGAAAATCTTAAGAATCAGGGCAACAAAGAACCACAAAAGAAAACTTAACACTTTTAAAAATCAGGGCAAACAGTCACAATTCTACACTTGCTCGTGGTGTAAGTTGAGCCCAAAGGGAACCGAGCTGCCCAAGGCGTGCACCCACCTGGTGGGAGCTGCCTTTGGGGCCAGCCTCCCATCAAACTCTGCCATACCCAACTCCTTGCTGCAGGAACTGAGGAAAACGAGGAGGGGATGAAGGCAGTGAGGAATTCCTGATGTATGGCAGATGGAGGTGGAACAGCCCCTCGCTGTGAGAACACAATCCCCTCCAAATGCATAATCTCCTGCTCGTGAAAGACACGTGGCCCCGTATGGAAGTTTTAGGTCAAGTGATTCCGTTGAAGATTAGCCTTGGTATTCTGAAAGGGGAGGCTGTGGCTGCTCAGGGGATTTTTAATTCCTCATAAAGGATTATACTGGGGTACCACACTACTGCCACAGTGTCAAATCTTTCCGTGGGTTTGCTAAATTAACCTTTGTAATGGAAAAGCTTATTATGCGCTTCCAGTCAAAGGAGGAGAGGAGTTTGAGTTTGTAGCAACTTAAAATGCCAGAGATTAGGATCCTAATCTAATATGCATAGTTTGGGGGTTTTTCTTTTATTTCTTCTTAAAGCATATTTCTCTACTGTATTGCAAATGACTTGCTAAGAATTTCAGGAAGAATTTCTTCGTGGAAAGGGTGGTCAGGCATGGGAAGGGCTGGTGGTGGAGCCCCCAGCCCTGGAGGTGTTCAAGGAATGACTGCATGTGGCACTCAGTGCTCCGTGCTAGTTGACAGGGTGGTGATCAGTCAAAGCTTGGACTTGATGATCTTAGAGGTCTTTTTCAAGCTGATTCTGTGTCTCTGTGATGAGTTCTGCTCTGATTTAACATCGTGTGCAGGATACTTAAAATGGAAAACTCTATCAGAGGGACAGAAACACGTGAAGGTCATGAGGGGGAAGATACTGCAGTTAAAGATAAACCAATCATCACTTGTGAAACTCTGAAAAAGTGACTTTAGTGTGTGTGATGTTAAATCTCAGTCATATGTAGGGAGAGGAAAGGTTTCAGTTTTAAGTAATGATATCAATGTTCCCACATGTTTGCAGCTGCTGAGCCTTTATTTGAGGTTGCACGTCCCTCATTGATGGCAGTATGCACTTTCTATCCTCCCTCATGAGTTTGTGCAATATGTTATGAGTTAATGCAAATAATGGTGGTACATTCTAATATTTGGTGGTACATTCCATATTTGAGTCCCTGATGCTTAACAGGGTTGGGAGGAAGCAAGTTCTCATTACACTGAAGAGGGAGAATGAAGGACTTTGTCCCTGCAGATCCTGTTTATTAAATATTGCCACATCTGAAAGGCCTGATTGTTCCTTGCCCTTTGCCTTCAGACCTTGCTGTGGATGGGGGCCTTGGTGAGAAGGACAAGCTGCTTGACCTTGTGGGGGTGCCATGGATTTCTCTGTCCAAAGTTGATGTTCCTTTTGATAGATTGTCCTTGCTTTCCTTTTCAGGACTTGTGCCCTAAACAGGCTATGTGGATACCCTGCTATTTTTGTATCTGTGCTACCTCCTGGCTTCCAAACAAGTTGTTT